CTTGACCAGGGCCCTAGGGCACAAGGCAATAGTTGGCTGTAGGAATGGTGTGGGGTCCAGCCACCAGAAGACCTATTGAGCTGTCCTCTGAGCCCAAGCTTACACACATCCATCCCCTAGTTCTGGGCAGTCATCCTTACAGATTATAAAACTGAGACTCAGGAGAGGGGAAGCCTTTTGCCCAAGACCTTGAAGAGAGTCAGACCTCATGCTTATGTTTGTTGACCTCCAAATGGCAAGTCTTTCCCCTTCCAGAATTTGTCCTCCTGTCTAGAGTGGACTTTCCTGGTGCTGGAGTTGGAGTCTTGGAGTTTGTGATTCTAATTAGTAGCAAGGCCAGCAAAGAAGGCCTGGTTGAGGGTGGGAGATGGCATTGTAAGGCAATGGCCTCAGACTACAGCTGCTCAGCCCACAGACTTGCCACAGACTTCTCTCACCAAGACTCTGGGGTTGGCCAGTGTGCACAAGGACCACCCCAAGCTAACTTCATGGCCTCAACCCCACTAACTGGGTGTGCCGATGTGGAAGGTGCTGCGGAATGAAGGGCTAAGTTAAGCCTCCCTCCCCAAGGAGCATCCAGGTGCCCTTCATCCTGATCTCCAGGCCCCATGCCACCCCCAGCACCATCTGAGGCTTCAAGGACTAGAACACTCTGAGCTGACCATGGTTCCACTTGGATGAGGTGAGCACAATGGAAGACAAAGGGCCTCCAGGGCCTCATAGGAGACCAGGCAACCCTCAGAATAGACCAGACCCACTGGATGCGGTGGCACACGCCTATAATCCCAGCAGCTTGAAAGGCTGAGGCAGGAGAATCATGAGTTCGAAGCCAGCCTCAACAACAGTGAGACACTAAGCAACGCAGTGAGACTCTGTCACTAAATTTAAAAAAAAAAAAAAAGAATAAAAAGGGCTGGGGATGTGGTCAGTGGTTGAATGCCCCCGATTTCAATCCCGGGTACCCATAAAAAAAGAAGAAGGAGAAGGAGAAGGAGAAGGAGAAGAAGAAAGAAAGAAAGAAAAGAATAGACCAGATCCAGGGATCTCAGAGCAACAGGGTTGACTAGGTGGCCCGAGTTCCATCACCCCTGGCCTATTCCCCGAGGGCTAGAGCCCATCCTTTGTCAGGACCATCCACCAGGGAAGGAGTTCCTAGGAGTTGCTGTCCCAAGGGCTGGAAGCAGTGTGACTAGGGAAAGTCCCTATCAGACTTTGTTTCACTGTGACCCTCATAAGATGGCTAGGACCTGGCCCCTCCCAAACTTCCAGATCCTCATGCATGCCTCAATCCCCAGAATCTCCAGTGTACAGGGCTGTGGCCTGGCCTTCATGTGGCTAGCTTGAGGTTCACCTAGGTCTCTGCCTGAGCCTAGGGGGCATTTGAAAAGTGCCAGGTCAGAGTTCTGGGAAACAGACAGCATTGGCTGCAGAGTAGGAGGGCCTTGAAGGTACATGGGACTTCTGAAGCAAGGATTGGGACTGCTCCTTGCTGAGATCTCCTGAAAAATACAGACATGTGGTAGAAATTCCTTGGTTATCTCCCAGTCGGACCAGACGCTCCAAAAGGGCAGGCTCAGATCTGAGCCTCTCACTGTGTACCCTTAAGCCCGGGCACCTCCAGGCTGTGGGCTAATCCCCATGTGGGAGTTGCTGGGAGCCAGGCTCTGGGCTGGGGCTCTCCATGAGTTTAGGCAGGTCCCTTCTCTCACAGAGGATTTAGGTTCCCTATTTACATAATAAGGATGGGTAAGTTGGTCTCATGCAAGAAGCTGCAGGGGTCTGGCTCTGTCCTGTAGGGATATGCATCCAGAAGGGTACCCTGGAAGGTGATAAACTTGGTTTTGGAGGATAACTAAAAGTTCACCTGTTTGACAATGTAGGGAGGGGCATTCCAGATAGCAGAAACAGCAGGAACAAAACAGCTTTGCCCCCACCCATTTCTTTGATGCAGTCAGTGGCAAATATATTTCTGTATATATGCCCAATAGTGTACTACATGCACATTATTTGGTACAATTGCTTTTTGAATCAGTTAAGAGTATAAAAGGGAAAAAACACACTTATACTGTCTTTTGTAACTACAACTTTTCTCTTTAAACAGGAAAATAGCTACAAACTTAGGGGACTAGGGGAACATCAGTGTCTAGGACAGGCAGAATGCCCTGTAGTCCTGTCCACTATACTTAAGGGTAACTTATCTAATCCTCACAGCAACCCTCAGAATTAGCCATTGCTGGCTCCATTTTACAGATGGGACCACTGAAGCTTAGAAATGTACTCTGTGATACGTGGATGGTGAGCAACTAGTTGACTTGAAGTCTCCACCTGTCCCACTCGGAAGTTAATCTCCATTCCACATCTGGGGCTATTTTCCCTCAACTTCTACCCAGAGATTCAGGGAAGTAATATCCTGGCTTTCTTCTGAGAGCTGATTCTTACACTTAAGATAATATTGCATGAGGGACACCTGAACACCATCAAGGTATCCAGCCTATCAGAAGTATTTCCCATATGGGGCAGGTGAAAGGTCACTACTTCTGTGGGGAAGGTGTCAGGAGTGGAGGCAGCTGTTGACTATTGGTCGTTAAGGCCCACACAGAACCAGCCAAGAAACTGCACAGCTGGAACGGGGAGTCATTGTGTGACTGGCCCCCAGGCCTGGCAGGTGGACTCACAATCTTGTCTGCCTTCTCTACTACTCCCTTCCCCTGTCCACTCCATTGTTTGTCCTGTGCTTTGAGTCACATTCTCCATGGGGCTTGGTGCATACAGCTAAGCTAACTTTGTCGAGAGCCTGGGCAACAGAAGAAAGAAACCCCCCTCACCTCCTGTAGCCTGAGTTCCATACTCCTAGTAATGTGGCCACAGCCCACAGGGAACCCAGCAGAATGAGGCAGTCAAGAGAGGAAAGTAGTGAACAGAGTAGGATGTGGTCCAGGCCAGATGGAGCTACTGGTTGGCCCTAATTGCCTGGGCCTACCCTCCCTATCCTCTCATTTCTACCTCTTTACCTCCCACCCTGACTGCGAACCTCCCCACCCATGTTCATTAATGAAAAATTTTTAAATATAGAAATAATGTTTTTCAAGAATAAAAGAATATCAAGGTCACTGTTGTCCCATCAGCAATAGGCCAACCACAGATTCCATTTTGGCACCAATTCTGCTTGTCTATTGTTTTTAGACATCTCTGAAATATTTCGGTAAGTACTTTCCATGGCTAAGCTGGTCCTATCCAACACACAATTTCAGATTCTACTTTTTTCAGATTATTGAACAACATCAGCTTTTTCTCATGGCCCTCCATATCCTCCAGTTCCAAATCCAGAGAATCAACCGAAGGTACATTAAAAATATTCTTTAAAAAATTATGTCTGTACTACACAGATACATACTTTTTTCTTGTCATTACTCCCTAAACAATACAATCTGACAACTATTTGCATAGCATTTGCATTGTATTAGATATTATAGCTGATCTAGCCATGATTTAAAGAATGTTGGGAGGATTTAAAGTATGTTGGAGTATGTGCATAGGTTTTATGCAAATACTATACCATATTATATAAAACTGGAACATCCTTGGATGTTCTACTATCCTCAGAGGTCCTGAACCCATCCCTCAGGGACATCAAGGGACAACTGTACAATTGACAACAACTAAGGCAATAGACCTCACAGAATGGGGCTGGGGATGTGGCTCAAGCGGTAGCGCACTTGCCTGTCGTGTGTGCGGCCCGGGTTCAATCCTCAGCACCACATACAAACAAAGATGTTGTGCCCGCCGAAAACTAAAAAATAAATATTAATATTCTCTCTCTCTCTCTCTCTCTCTCTCTCTCTCTCTCTCTCTCTCTTTCTCTTTAAAAAAAAAAAAGACCTCACAGAAGTTTAAAGTGATTTATTTTTGTATACCCACTAAACTCTCATTACAAGCCCAGGAGATCAATACTATTCTTATGCTAATTTTTCAGTTGAGGAAAACAGATTCAGAGAAGTTGAGTGATTGGTTCCCACAGCTAAGTAAGTGAGAACACTGGGATTCAAACTCAGGCAGTCTGGCACAGAACCACCACACCAAGCTGGCTGCTACTGTAGAAATTTGTGAAGCATGTTATTACCAGCTCTGTATCATGTTATATCCTGTAGCTGTAACACCCCTTCTTCACCTATACCCTCCAGATGTGTTGGAGTAAGACTGCTGTCAACAAGACTTTAAGACACTCATTGTGTAAACACAATTTTTTGTGTATTTTGGACAGTCTCACAGATCAAATTTCTCGGTCAAAGGATACATACCAGTTGCAGGGCTCTTGCTCCATACTGTTCAACAACTTTACGAGAGGTCAATCATTGGTACACTCGCCATGGGAAGAAGACACCTGCTCTGCCAACAGTGAGGGTATAATAAAGAGAACACACTGATGTTCCAAACTAAGACATCCCAGGACAGGACCTAGTGGATATAGTGGATATGAAGTCTCCTAGCCTCATCAACATAGGAGATTTTCTAGAAAAAGGTCTGAGAAACATGTTCATTATTCCCAGGCCCCTTGGCCATTCTAGGTTTGAAAAGAGAGTCAGGGCAGGGGAGTACCTGTACAAAGGAGAAGGGAGCAGGGAGGCCCTTAAATTCAGAGAGGAAACATGGAAGCTGAGGGGCCAAGTGATCAGGTATCTGCTCCAATCTTAGAACCTACTGTGTGCTCAAAGTTTAACTCACACTAGCCCAAGCCCAACTTTAAACCTTTGCTTAGATAAGCAAACTGGACAAGGATTGCAGGTGGGTCAGTTTATTGAAGAGCCAAGACCATCTAATGTGACCTGTCACCCCAAGGAAGAGATAATTCTGTAGGCTGGTCAGAAGTTGCTCATAACTCCTCCCTTCCCAGGACCTACAGATGGGGTCTGAGGGAAGATATAAGTGGGACTTCCTGGCATTGGCAGCCTGCAGTCACAGCTGTTATCCTACCATCACTTCAGCCTGAGGCAGGAGCTGGCAGGAGCATGAGGTGGATTCTGGGTTTGAGTCTCACCCTGTGCCTGGTGGTACAGACAGCCCTAGGTAAGACCCTCAACCCTTCCTGAGAGTGTCCGCCAGGACAGGTCCCAGCTCAACCTTTCCTGGACAGTGGGGCGGGGGCACTTAGACAAGGTCTAAGCAGATGGAGGACGGAGTTTCAGGGCACTAATCCACCCACCCAGCAGTTGAAAGTCTAAACAAGTCCTTTGGCTTCTCTGAGCCCTAAGACTGCTCTACAAAATGAGAAGGGCATCTCCTGCCTCCCCCGCCACCTCCTTACCCCTGGACAAGTGAAGGGCCTTCCTTGTTTCCCTCCTTCCCTCCTTCCTACTTCCTTCTTCTAAGCAGGAGGCCTGCTTCTGCCTCCCTCTCCCCTACATGGACCTGCTCAATTCTCCCCAGTGTCTTTCTCTTTAAAATTACTATTGTGCTTTTTACTGTGTAAAAAAATATAGCGCATTTAGGTATATTAGGTAACTTTATTTAGGTATGAGACATATATAGCAAGGTACACATATCTTAGTTATACAATATTATATTACATATAAAATAACCACCATCCAGATCAAGAGCTAGAACATTCCCAACATCCCACGTACCCATTCCCAATCAATACCTTCAAAGTGAACAACAGTTTGACTTCTGTCATAAATTAGTTTTGTCTATATAAATGCATATTTTTTTAATTTGAAGGAAACTTTGCTAAAACTGCTTTAAGCATTTTGCTGCCTTTTCTTTTGTCTTTTTGTTGCACATTTCTAACATAGCTGTGATATTAGCATGTATATTTTATATGCTGCCCTTTTGTTTTGTTTTGTTTTTTCACTTAAAATCTTATTGAGCTAGGCATGGTGGCACATGCCCATAATCCAAGCTTCTCAGGAAGCTGAGGCAGAAGGATTGCAAGTTCAAGGCTATTCTGGATGACTTAGAGAGATCCTGTCTCAAAACAAAAAATAAAAAGGACAGAGGTGTAGCTCAGTGGTAGAGTGTCCCTTGAGTCAATTCCCAGCAACACACACACACAAAAAAAAAAAATTCAGAAGGTAGTTTATACCTTGAGTTTACAGTTATATTTACTTTACTTCATCCCCAGATATAAATGATCCTTCCATTGTCCACTGGGTTCAGAGCAGTCTTTGTTATGCAGTTATGGTGTAGCAGCCTGTAATCCCAGCTACTTGTGAGACTGAGGTAGGAGGATCTCAAGTTCAAAGTCAGCCTGGGCAATTTAGTGAGAACTTCTTCTCAAAGTAGTTCTCACAAAGGAGGAGGACAGAAGATGAAGCTCATAGGTAGAAAGCTCCTGGATTCAACCCCCAGTATGGTAGGGGTGGGGAACAGAACAGTCTCTGTTTTAATATTTCTGACTATTTTCAAAGCACAGGGGTCCAAAAATGAAATTACTGACTAAAAGTATGTGAACTTTTTATATATTTTACCAAATTATTTTCCCAATGCATTGTATCAATTTATTCTTCACCAACAAACAGTGTAGGTGGATGTCCTTTTCTCTGTATCTTCACCAGAACTAGGTGCCATCATTTTTTTCATTTCTCAGCTGGCAGATGAAACTCCAGGTGTTGGTTAGCACAATTCATGACTTCCAATAAGGTAGATAGTGTTTTCATAAGTGCTTCCATGTCACCTCTGAGTAGCAGAGCTGGGATCAGGGCCACTCCATGGAAGCTCTTATTTGGAGGTTAGAGTACTCAGCCCCATGGTTAGGGGGTGGGAAGTGGACAAACACCACGGGTTAGAGAACAGCTCTGATGTGAAATCTTTCTATGTGACCTTGGGCGAGTTGCTTCACTTAAGCAACTGCTTAGTACAATTTGCCTTTTAAAGCTTTGGGGAAATGAGGTGAGATATATAGTGTTGGGCTATAGGAAGGGATCCATAAAGCACAGCTATTAGCTATTCCATCATGAGTGGCCCCTGAATTCAGGGAAAATCCAGGTCATATGACAAAAACTGACCTCCTGGCTCTGACCCACAAGTCCACAGACTGGTCACTGTCCTTTTCAGGGCTTTCAGACCTCCCCAGGCTCTTCCAGGGCCAATGAGAAGCCTATTTGAAAGAGTGTTGGAAACTGTAAATGGTGGCACACATAGAGAAGAGGTGAGATGGGCCCTTGCCCTGCTGACCTGCCTCCATGTCCAAAGTGCCACCATTACAGTCACTCCCTTGTGTCCAGATATTGCTTATGTAAGATCAGAAATGGGGAGACCTCGAGACGTGGGCAGGGAAGAATATTTTGGCCACCTGCAGCTGGGAGTGTGAGAGTGTGCTCTATCACACCAATCCAAAAATCAATTGCAACAAGATTTCCTGGAGATATTTGCAAATCTAATTTCCTGATGCAATCCTGAGATTCTCATTCAGAGAGTGTGGGGCATGGCCTAGGAATCTGTATTTTTGCAACAATCCCCACATGATTCTGACACACCGTAAGGTTTAGTAATTACTTACATCAGATTTGCAGAATAAGGGATGTGAGGCCTAACCAACCCTTGGCAGTAGGAGTGGGGCAGGATGAGAGATTAGAAGAGAGTAAAGTACCCAAAGGCAGAAAGAGAGTTGGATTCAACTTGGTCTCTCTCCTATCTATTCCAAGAGCTGGCTATGGTGCCAGCATGCTTGTGTGTGTGTGTGTGTGTGTGTGTGCGCACGCGCACATGTGTTATATGTATGTATGTTGTGGATTGGATACACTGCAACCTATGTATAACTGTACTTGAATACCTGTGTGCATATGTGCATACAGATGTTGTAATGGAAGCTCGAAAGTATGTGTAACTTGTCCAAGGTCATGGAAAGTGTCTCACATCAGGGCTCTGCTCTAAACCTGCCGTATTGAATTTCTGCATGTTTCTTTGTGAATGAGCTGTGCTCCTGTATACCTAGTATGCACAAATTTGGACATACACATGAGTATTGATTCAAGGTTCCATATGAGTGAGAATATGTATGTTTGTGTGTGTGTATATGTGTGTGTGTGTGTATGTGTGTATATGCATATATATATACATATAAATTTTTCCCTGAAACAAGACGGGCAAATATTAGTAACAAAAAAAGAGACGTTGCCGTGGCTGGGGTTGTGGCTCAGTGGTAGAGCGCTCACCTGGCATGTGCGAGGCCCTGGGTTCAATCCTCAGCACCACATAAAAGTAAATAAAATAAAGGTATTGACAACTACAACTAAAAAATAAATATTTTAAAAAAGAGAGATGTTGCCATATTAATAGCAGATAAGCAGAAATTAAAGTAAATGACATATTTATTGACATCAAATGATTCAAAGAGAAATAGACATATAAAAAAAACATGAAATTTTATGTAACTACCAACATGACTTTGAAATTTTAAATGAGAGGAAAAAAATGCTGAGAGAAGTACAAGAAAGTGAACATTGACACAATTGTTATGAATAGCTTCAAGCTTAGCTGGGTGCAGTAATACATCACTGTAATCCCAGCAATTCAGGAGGCTAAAGTAGAAGGATTACAAATTCAAGGCCAGACCCAACAGTTTAGCAAGACCCTATCAAAGAAAGAAAGTGGGGAGGAAGTAAAGAAACAAGAGAGAGACAGAGACAGAGACAGGGAGGGGGAGGGGGAGGACACAGAAAGGGAAAGGAAAAGAAGGGAAAGTGGGGACTGGGGATTTGGCTCAGTGGTAGAGCACTCCCGGATTCAATCCTCAGTACCAAAAAGAAAAAAAAGCTTCAGACTTTTTTATTGAAATGAAAGGCAGTAGCCGGTTCCCATGGCAGAGGGGCCAGGGTTCCATCTGTGGTTGAGAGTGGCCAAGCTGGGATGACCCTTCTCCCTTCTCTTCCCAGGTGCCTTGTACACCAAGAAGCCTCTAGTGGTCACCAAATATGGGACCCTCCAAGGAAAGCAGATACTTGTGGGGAAGACGTCCCTCCATGTCTTCCTCGGAGTCCCCTTCTCCAGACCTCCTGTGGGTTCCCGTAGGTTTGCTCCTCCACAGCCCCCGAAGCCCTGGAAAGGAATCAAAGATGCCACTAACTACCCACCTGCGTAAGCCCAAGGACTGTCAGCTGGGAGGTGGGCAGAGCCTGAGGAGGGTGGTGGGTCAGGCTTTGAACAATTCACTGAGACCACAGGCAGGCCTGGGCCCATTCTAGGCCTCGGTTTCCAAACCTGTATAATATGTTGACAGGTCCAAATGGGATTTAAGGCACTGATAATTCTATTCTAGGTTTCTCACAGGAGAGCTCCAGGCAAGGGGGAGGTGGTCCCTCACTGTATCCTAGGGCCTGCTGGGAAGCTAGGGTTTTCTAAATATGTCTGAGGAGCTGTGTGCTCACTCACAGCACAGCCCTGAGTTCTCTCCTCTGGAGCTTGATATCCAAGACAAACCCACATGGCACTACCTGTCCTTGCCTGCAGAGGGAGCTTCAAGATGGGGAATGCACAGGCTCAATTTCAGTCCCTGGGTCTTGTGGCCACCTCCTGCAGGGCTCAAGGCCTGAGGAGTCACAAAGCAAGATTGGAACAATAACTGCCCTTTGAAGCAATGGACTTGGAGGTTTATTCAGAACAAGTGTATTTATTGTTTATTGTTTATTCAGAGCATTGAGAAATCTATTGCCCAGAATATTCTATGGCATTCATTAACAATGTTCAGCATCAGCTGGTCAAAGCACAAGTTTAGAAAAATGTCTGTTATGAGAACTTGGATGTCAGTTACTATAAAAAAGCTACAAATCCCTTCCTGGGTGACTGGTTGTTAAGAAGAGGTTCCACTGCTAGAACAGGACCAACCAACCAATGTGGGGCAGAGGTTGTAGCATGCAAGAGGCCCTGAGTTCCATTCCCAGCACAACAAAACAAAAACATTATCACTATTACTAGAATACTGGGATATTAATTGTGTCAACACTGGCTGTCAAAGTGTGAACATTGGCATTCTAACAATGTTCACAAACATGTTTTCTAATAAACATTCTGAAACATTTGGAGCCCTGAGCATCAGGGGACAGAACATGGAATGACCATTGCTAGAATCCTGAGGACTGGGGCTTAGAGATTAGGGTGTCTATTGCCTAGATATCTAGGCATCCATTGTTGGAACACTGGCCATAAGCTGTTTGAACAAGGGCTGTTTGAAACAGAGTGTCATATGTAAGAGTCTGTGGATTGCTTAGAAACAACCTGTAGGGTGCGGGTTAAGGAAGAGCAGCCTCTCTAGGAGGCTGTTGCAGACATAGGGGTTTCTACCAGTGTAGTTACAGCCAAGGTGATAGAAAATGGTCAGATTCCACATTCATTTTAAAGGTAAAATTGATGGGATTTACCGGAAAAATTGGTTATGACTCACAAGGAAAGAAGAGAAGCCATGGATAATAACTAGTTTCTAGCCAGAGCAGCCAAGGGAATAGGAGTACCATTTCCCCAAATGGGGAAGAGTGGGGGAAGAGTAGGAGTGGGAAAACACAAGTTCATTTGGGACACGTTAAGTCTGGCATGCAGATAGATGTCCATGTGGAGATATGGAATAGATGGTTGGATGAAGGGGGCCAGAGGCAAACTGATCATCAGCATGAAAATGGCAGGAGTGTTTCAATAGAATAAAGCCCTGAGCCTGGATGAGGACAATTTGGTAAAGAACAGTCAGGAAAAAAAAAGAGAGAGAGAGAGAGAGAGAGAGAGAGAACTGAGGGTTGAGGCCTAGGCACTCTTATGCTGAGACCTGGGAGAAGACGAGGAACCACCAAGGAGGTAGCAGGAAAATCAGGGGAGTGAGGTATTACAAAGATGAAACACTGTTAAAGAATGGGGGCGGGGGGAGCATGGTCAACCACACTGAAGGCTGCCAGGCCCAGTAAGACAACAGCAGGCATTTAGCAAGATAGAGGTCTTTGGGGACCATGTTGGGAGTGGCTTTGGTGGTAGGATGGGAACAGAAGCCTCTGCTGTTCCTAACCCAGTTCTTGGCTAGAAAGCCCCAACTTTCCTGGTGAGAGGCTGGGTGTGGTCGTTGGACACCGACATTAGCTGCTACCTGAGGAGTCAAGCAAGGAAGAGCAAAGACATTCTAAAGTGATAGAGATATATTACCTGCTGAGGACTTTAGAGAATCTGAGTGGGGCTGGGGTCAAGGGAGAAACCATTGAAAAATTCAACCTGGGGGTGGGGGGTGGGGAAGCTAAAATAGTTGCTGGGGAAGGTGAATGGGAAATGATAGGTTTAGATAAGCCAGGTGGAAGTATTGTTTGGAAGGACAGATGAAAGGGGACAGCAATGCTCTAGGGACAGGATAGGAGGAAGAGAAGGAGTAGGCAGACTGGGTTTCCTGAACTCAATCAAATAGGTCCAGCTCCACCCTAACAAGAATAGAAACCCTAGGGTTTGACCAGAAGGCAGAAAAGTTGAAGCAGCCAGACGTCCACACTCTTCAAATAGCCACACAATGCAGGACATTGGGCTGGGTGTCAGAACTCAGATAAATCCACTACTGTCCCTGCCCTCAGAGAGTACTTGGTCACTTGGGGAGAAAAACAACCAATGGAAATAACTCCAACAAGTACCACAGGGCTGGGACAAGAGCTGGCCTTAAACATGATTAGAGGTTTGGTGGGCAGGGCAGGAGACACTTGGCTGAGGGGGAAGAGGCACCAGGGCTTGAAGTTGGGAGGCAGGCAAGTGGCCATATGTATCTGGAGCCAAGGGTGGCTGGGAAGAAGGTGACTGAATGCGAAGGAGGGCCAGGGTCAGTTTGCTCAAACTTCATCTGAGGGCAGTGGGTAGCCAGGGAAGTTTGAAGAAGGGAAGTGACATGGTCAGACTTGTGGATTTTGTCAACCTTTCTGGCTAGAGTGTAGAGGACAAGGTGGAAAAGCATAAGAGACTGGGGCAATGTCCAGACCAGAGATTTGATAGCCTCGCCAATGCAACTTCCAGGGGATGGAGGGGACAGGGTATCTTCTAAAACTGTTTGGGATGCAGATGGGAAACTGAGGGGGAGTGGGGGTTGAAAAACAGACACCAAGTTTCTCTCTCCACAACACCAGCAATCTCCATCAGGAGCAAGGAGTCACTTCCATCCCAAGATGCAATGGAGAAGGATGGGCCCTGGAGTAACCCACCTATCTCCCAGGCCTGTACCCCAAGACTAGTGGAGGCCTCCAGGGACACACGCAGACACAGACACAAACACACACACACACACAGTAGTTGCCTGGATTCTTGTTTTGGTTCTATCCCCTCACTGCAGACACTGGTTGGAAACATTGTACCCGCAGGTGCCTTCAGGAGTCCTGGGGACAGATAACTTCCATGTACTTAAACACGGGGAAACAATACAAGTGGCTGCGCTTCAGCGAGGATTGCCTGTACCTGAACGTGTACGCCCCAGTTCACGCACATGGGGACCCTCTACTGCCGGTGAGCACTCGGTACTCTGCTACCCACGGTCCCACTCTGCTACCCACAGTCCCACTTTGTTACCCACGGTCCCACTCTGACTTGTTTTGTGGGACAAAACCAAGTCCCACAGAAGGAAGTGTTGAGACTTGAGACACTCAGTGAATCCAGTGCTGATACCCGGCTCAGGCCTTGGCCTTCCTCGCCCAGGTGATGGTCTGGTTCCCGGGAGGCGCCTTCCTTGTTGGATCGGCTTCCACTTACGAGGGCTCTGAATTAGCAGCCCGTGAGAAAGTGATGCTGGTGTTTCTGCAGCACAGGCTGGGCATCCTGGGCTTCCTAAGGTGAGCTGCTCCAGGCAGAGAAGGCAGAGACTAGTGGAAGGGGAAGGGCGTGGCCTGTGGGCGGGACCACCGAAGATGGTGGCGAGGATAGTGCCTAATATTTGCTGAAAGGGGCATAACTCCATACTGTCTCAAAGGGGTGATCCTTCCTCTATGGAAGCAGGTGTGGTTGCAGAATTAGGTCTCAGTGGGGAAAGAAAGCAGGGTGGGGTTCAGGTGGAAGCCCTCTGCATCCTGACCTTCGAAATTTGGGTCCCTGATCGTGAACCCCTGGCGGCCCAGCACCAGTGACAACCAGGCCCGAGGCAACTGGGCGCTGCTGGATCAGATTGAGGCTCTACGCTGGGTTCAGGAGAACATTGAGGCCTTTGGTGGAGACCCAAACAGCGTGACCTTGTTCGGGCAGTCGTCGGGGGCCATGTGCATTTCAGGACTGGTGAGCATGATGTCCTAATGAACCAGCACAAACACAGGCTCCCAGGTTCCATAATTGTAACTTCCACTGGCACGTGCACAGATCTGCATGTACATGAACATACTTGTTTCCAGATCTGCCTTCACTGCTTCCAAGGATACCACTCTTGTCAAAGGTACCACCCCTCTTAGCAAAGGGTGTCTGCTCTGTTCAGGGATAGCACTGATGACAAAACCAAGTCCCACAGAAGGGAATGTTGAGACTTGAGACTCTCAGTGAATCCAGTGCTGATACCCAGCACTTCCTGCCTACCTACTTTCTCCCAGCACTGTATTCCCTGAACAGAGCCCACTATCTGCTCTCTGAGCAGAGCTAGAGTCACAAACCAGGCCTGGAAGTTAGGGCCTGGGTTGGAGAACCAACTTTGACCCTGACTCTGGGGTCTGCTGACCTGGGGTGTGCCTGGAAGCACACAATTCTGTGAAATGAGCAGGGATCATGTAGGGCCTTGCAGGTCACCACTGTAATAATAATACTCAAACACCTGAGCACTTTCTGTGTGCCAGGGACTCTTCTAAGCAGCTTACATATATTCCTTCATTTGAGTCCATTAATAGTTCCAAAAGAAAAGTATTGTTGTCCTTATTCTACATATAAAGAAACTGAGGCCTAGAGAAATGAAGCAACTTTATGCAAAGTGCACTGGAGAGCAGGGACAGAGTTGGATTTAGATGTGGATTTAGAGGCAGCTCAGTCTGCTGTATGGGACTGAGTTAGAAGTGGGAAAACACTTGGAAGACCAACGAGATAATGGAGGTGGGCGGGAAGGATGGAGAGTAAAGGGTGGTGGCAGAGTGAGGCACACTGTCACATAGACAGGACTTAAATAGGACTTGGGGATAAGCAGAGGAAATAGGGAAGGTCCCTATTGCTGTATGGATAGTGTGGGTGCGATGATAGTCAGCTGGAGTTTGGATGCAGCAGGTGTGGGGCATATGAATTCTGAGGACAGGATAGGAAGCCAGAAATGTGGTTGTTCTCCAGACTGGGGCAATGGAAAGACACTAAGAGCTATCAACACAGGTAACTGGGACTGTAGGAACCATAGGGTCTCTCCTTTACCCTCATTTCTAATCCTATAGCAGAGAAAGACTCTTTACCTACACTAGCAGATCCTTTCCTGCAATCTCAGATTCCTTCTGCACAAACCAGAGGCAGGAAGGCATTGGCTTTAGGTCTGTGACTCCAGCCCAGGATTCCTGGCTCCATCTCAGCTGCTTGTCCTCCTTGAGCCCTTTTGGGCTACTCAGCAAGGGCCAGATAGGCACCCAAAACAGCCTAAGTGGCCTTACTTGTGCATCTCATGGATGCCCTGCTCCTCACCTCTACAGATGTTGTCACCCCTAGCCCAGGGTCTCTTTCATCGGGCCATTTCCCAGAGTGGCACTGTGCTATTCAAAGTCTTCATCACTCGTGATCCATTGAAGGTGGCCAAGGTGGGTATCTCTCTTCCCTCAGGGCTTGGTAATTGGGCAGAATGGGACATCCCTGAGCACCCATGCTTCTCTCTACAGGAGGTTGCTCACCTGGCTGGCTGCAACCACAACAGCACAAGGATAATAATAGAGTGTCTAAGGTCTCTATCAGGGGCCCAGATGATGCGTGTGTCCAGGAAGATGGTAGGTAAAGCATTCTAGCTGCCTGATCTGGCTGCCTGCAAGTTATAGTCACCAGGGAATCTATTTCAAGAGCACATTGAGGAGATTTCTTTAACTCTGATCCCCTCATCTCCCCCCATAGAATTTTTTCCACATGAACTTCCAGAAACAACCTCAAGAGGTAAGCAGGCCACTTTCTGCAACTTGAGTATTTATTGAGCACCTATGGTGTTCCAGGCACTCAGGATACTCAAGGAACTCTTGAAGTCAAGATCCCTCCCTTAGTGGAACTGATGTTCAGTGGGGAGAGACAATAAACCCTATAAATTAATAAATTATTCACCTCCTTAGAAGGTAATAATCAATTGGCCACAAGTGGAGAGGGCAAGGGGGTCAGGCATGGTGGGAGTGATAGAATTTTAAATACAATAGATAGTGTAGGCCTCATTGCACTTGATCATAGCCAAAAGGCAAAGAAACAATACTGCAGGCCTATGTCAATGAAGTGACATTTTGCAAAGATTTTCAAGAGATGAGGGAGTGAGCAATGTGGACATCTGGGGAAAGCATCACAAGTCTGAGTAGCCTGGTTCTGTCTGTCCTGTTCCCTTCTCACACCCACCTTCCTAGAGGTCACCATGGCCATTCCCAGTTTTTTCCCAAAGAGCCTAGGCTAGAGAAACCCCTGGAGGAGGATCTGCTGAGCTGGGCACCCAAGGTCAGAGCAACCCTGGGAAGACATGTGAGATCACTGGCTGGAAACACCCTGGCTTTGCAGATTATATGGTTCCTGAGCCCTGTGGTGGACGGTGTGGTGTTCCCAGATGACCCTGTGGTGCTTCTGACCCAGGGGCAGGTTTCACCTGTACCCTATCTTCTAGGTGTCAACAATCTGGAGTTCAGTTGGCTCTTGCCTTATGTAAGTGAGTGGGGTAGCAGAGGATGCTTCTTGGAAAGTGTTGAGCACCAGGTTAGATCCCAGTAGCCTCTCTGGGGATATACAAGTATTTGGGAACCTCCTGTATTCCCTACACAGGGAGATCTGGCTAGGAATGATGGAGGAGAGGGGAAAGACTTGTGGCCTCTTAGAGGTTTTGAGGGCCCTAAATCCTCACTCAAGTCATAGGTTAGATGGATTATAATGTCCATTCCTAAGCCCCCAGACAACTATAAGTCCTGGGTCTCTCCTTTTCTCCCACATCTGGGTCAATTCCCCGGCTCAGAATGGGCCCTCCTATCCCCACTTCAGCTCTAGATCAGGTAGAAGTGACAGAAAGCAGAGCAGGACAGGATCATGGGCCTTTCCTGGGCTGTGTGCTCTGTCTGAGAATTCTCCATTCAAGATGGGCAAGATCTCAGACGTAACCCACACCTGGGTCCCTGTCTTGGGAGCAGATCATGAAATTCCCACTAAACCGGTATTCATCGAAGAAAGAAGTTCTCACTAGGCTGCTCTGGATTACCAGCACCCTGTTGGTGAGGAGCCCAGCTGGCAGGGGTGCTCAGTTTGAACAGAGCTGACACCCCTCTTTTATTCTTTCTTACCTCGTAGGTGCTCTCTGTTAAGAGCCTTCAGCCTGGGTCAGGGTCTTTCTTGGAGGGCCCAAAGGGGTTTGGAATGGGATTAGATAGTTGCCCATGGACAAGGTCCCTGGGGCATCCTCAGGGTCGTGGGAGGCAGTTCTCATGCAGCAAAAACAGGGGTAAAAACAAGCCAAGATGGAGGCCTTCCTGGGAAGCTCCCCATCCCAAAACTCCTGGGGGGCTGAGGCTGGATCCAAGTCACTGGTATGCCCACTTATGGCCTAGCTGGTACAACAGGCCTCAGGGTGGGTATGGCCTCCCCACCCAGAATGTCACTAAGGAGCAGATACCACTTGTGGTGGAGGAGTACCTGAACGACACCCCTAAGCATGACTGGAAGGTGTTCCGAAACCATGTGATAGACCTAGCTGGAGATGCCACCTTTGTGTACACCACGCTGCAAGCAGCCCGCTACTACCGAGGTATGGGAGGAGGTGTCCCCAAGAGTGACCACACTGTTCCCCTCCATTTTCCAACTACACTACTTTCCAATTGAGTTCAACAACTGCTCACCTACCCTCTCTGTACTTCTGGCTGGTGTAGGACTCCAAGATGCCACAGAGAAGGCAGAGAGCTATCAACTGTACGACAGGAAGGGTTGTTCCCTTCCTTGTTCCCAGAGCAAGGACTCACCCAGCCCTAAGTAGAAAGCTAGTGTGTCTAGGAAGTCTTCCTGGCTGAGAGGACAAGCTTAGGAGCAACTTGACAGTCCTGCCTAAGTTGAATGGAGCTTAGGCATATGTGAGCGAGAGGTCAAAGGTAGGGATGGAAGACAGATAGTCACCAAAGATCCTTAAATGCCTGGAAAGAATGGGAAGTTCAGAAAAGAAAAGAGGAAGGCTTCCATGATCTTTGCCATAATCCTGTGAATTCAATTTTATTGTCCCCATTCTGCAGATGAGCAGTTGCAGCTCAGAGAGGTTGAGAGGCTTGCCCAGGGTGTTACAGCTAACAAGTAGTGCAGACAGGATTCAAATATGCTCTCTTGATTCTGAAGCTGAAGCTCTTTCTCCTTCTTGATACAGTGGGTGGGATACATGGGGTGGATGGGAATCCCAGGCTGGGCTTTTCCTGCAGCCCTCTCTGGTGTCCTCATTCACAGATGCTGGCTTCCCTGTTTACCTGTACGAGTTTGAGCACCACGCTCCCTCAGGCATAATTGTCAAACCTCGCAATGATGGGGCAGACCATGGGGACGAGATCCGCTTCATCTTTGGGAGCCCATTCTCCAAAGGTGCTAAATCCCTGCCTCGGTATTTATTCCCCCCATGTGTTTATGCAGATCTGCCCCTCCAACAGCTGGCCACAGGGAGCTAGCCAGTTCCTCGTATGGGATGCTCTCCCAAATGAAAGTCTTGTGCATAGCTGAAGGTTGGCACCCCAGCTCTGTTCCAAATACCACATCCCCTTCTGCCTCCAGGCTCATTCACAGATGGAGAGAAGGCACTCAGCCTCCGGATGATGAAATATTGGGCCAACTTTGCCCGCACTGGGTGAGTAGTTTGATCCCCTGACTCATCTGGGTCGTGCTAGACCTGAAGGCTGGCTGCTTTGGGTATTTGCCCCTGCATGTCCCAAAAGAACTGCACAATCAGCTGGACCAGGGTGCCCCTTCCCCCTCGACGTTTCCCAGTCAGTCACAAGATCCTAAATGTCTACAGGATGTGATCCTCTCTGTCACATGACAGACATTCTACACTCACTCTCTTTGTGTACCCATCCCCTGTACTGGGGAGCTGGAATTCAAGGATGTCACAGATGTGCAACCCATGCTCCTATAGTTCACGATATAAAAACAAAAATCAGGCACAATGACAGCTGTACCAGGTGGAACAGTAGGCACTTTGAGAATATCGAGGAGGTGTCTGATCCAACCTGGGTGGGCAGAGGAGGCTTCAGTTGGAGGTGACAACTATACTGAGCTTTGGCTGCCTCCTGACTATTTTTATATCTCCACATTCTCCAGCGCCTACCATGATACTAGACGGGTCTGCCTGAAATATCATTTGACCTCCTTAAAACCCTTTGTGGCTCCCAGGTGCCCCCAGTATAAAGTCCCATACCCATAGACTGCATGAAAGCCTCTCCATTAATCTTTCCTGTAGCTTGGCTTGGTGGCACACACCTGTAAACTCAGGCACTTGGAAGGCTGAGACAGGAGGATCACAAGTTCAAAGCTAGCCTCAGCAACTTAGCAAGACCCTATCTCAAGAAAAATTAAAAATTAAAAAAAAATAAGAACTGGGGATGTAGTTTAGTGCCCCTAGGTTCAATCCCAGCACAAAAGAAAAAGAAATGTGATCCCTTTGCACTTTCCTTCACATACACCCTGTTCTCACCTAACCCTGTACTTGTGCTTCTTCTAAAGCCCTGGTCTTTCATATGTTTAATCCCTGAACATGCTATTCCGTCTGCCAGGAAGCCACACCCCTTCCAATTCTTTCTTAAATATCTGTTTAAACATCGTCTCCATAAAGTCCTCCTAATCTCCAATGCCCAAGGAGAAGATAAATGAGGGAAGGGTAAGAGGAGATGGAACAAAGGGAGGGGGAAGAATCCTCTCGCCTTTCTCCTCTGGAATAGGAACCCCAATGATGGGAAGTTGCCCTACTGGCCGCGCTATGACAAAGATGAAAAGTATCTGCAGCTGAACCTTACCACAGGAGTGGGTGTGAAGCTCAAGGACAAGAAGATGGCCTTCTGGAGGAGACTGCGCCAGTCTCAGAGACCCAAGAAGCAGAAGCAATTCTGAGAGTGACCATATGGGAGGAAGCCAAAGGGCTTGTCCTATCACCTAGGCCTCTGGGAAAATGGCCATGGGTACACCTAGGGACAAGAGTCCTGCCCACTCAAATCTAGGATCTACCACAGCTCCCTACTGCCTCCAGGCCAGAGTTGGAGACTTAGCCTCTTATTTGGGGCTCTGCACCACCCTGTGCAGCCTAACATCCCATGATGCCATGACGGTGCCCCACAGCCTCAGGACAACCTCTTCTCTCCCTTCTCTAAGTACTCCCACCCTTCAAGATCTACTTGAAGCCACTTATAGGAAGTTCATGCAGACTGCCATAGCCTGTCATTGCATCCCACTTGTCACTTATCATTCATCCTGCTCAACTTCATGTCTGTTCCCACTGGTCTGGAAGCCCTAGGCAGGTTATTTGTGACACACAGCAAAGCTCTGTCGGCTTGAGATCTTCTCCCCTACCCACACTCATTTCTCCCAGGGCCCCTCCAAAACCTGCACACAAGGCTGATTCTCAATAAAGATGGGTTGACTTGAACCTACAATTTTTCCATCAGTAAAATGGTTGGGTAAAGTGCATGGTGTCTCCACTTAAGCCCTTGGAGGAACAGAGCATTACTGCCTACTCCCTCCCTGGCTGTGCCTGCTAGGGTACACTCAATCAAGGGAAGCTGCAGCAAAGTTGCCTGAGCCAAAAAAAAAAAAAAAATACTTGGCTTGTTTCTTCATTGTCTCAAGCAAATGCCCTCAGGACATGAGGACCAGTCTCACTGTCCATTTGTTCAGGTTTTAGTGCTACAACCACACTCCTCATTCTCTGTTCTCTCCTGTAATCTGACTTGGGCATATCCAAATTTGTCCCACAGTTTTTGTTTCTTTTCTGTGAGTGTTTGTGTGTGTGTGTGTGTTTTCCTAATGGATAGAGGTTCTTGCCCTGTTGCCAAATTTGGCCTTGAATTTCTGGTCTTAAGTTATCCTCCTGCTTCAGTCTCCCCAGTAGCTGGGACTACTGGCTTTTTGTGAGTTTTGATGGTGAAAAAAACATACATATATATATATATATATATATATATATATATATTTTTTTTTTTTACCTTTTAAAATTTTTCTTGTGGTGTTGGAGCCTGACTCACAGAGCAGGGGACATCCTGACTTTGGAAGTCCTGGAAGACTCACCCTGTGGCCTGCTGGCAGAGCTCCTAGTTTGGTCAAGGTCTTCTTCTTGGGGCTCCTCATTTTTTCCCTGCTATGGCTTGAATATGGCTTATCTCCCTGAAACTCAGGCTAGAGTTTAATCCCCACTGTGAGATATTAAGTGGGTGGAGATTTAATCAGAGTATATAGTGTTTCAAGGTGAGGCTTTTGTGAGGTGATTAGGATTTGAATCCTGGTGGCTTTTTAAGAGGGAGAATAGTCAGTCTCTCTCTCTCTCTCTCTCTCCCTCTCCCTCCTTCCAGTATCTTGCCCTGTACTGCTTCCGTACTTTGCCAGCAAGAAGGTCATGATCAGATGTGGCCCCTCAACCTTGTACCTCCTGAATCATGAACCAAAATAAACTTTTCTATATAATCTGACCAATCAGTTGTATTGTCATTAGCAACAGAAAACAGATCAATACATCCCCTGAAGAAGATTCACTGATTGACCAAACTCTATTCAGGCTCCCCTGCACTTTTTCAATTAGCCCTTGCTTTGGGGATTCTGTGTTCATCTCTGCATTGTCCAATTTTAGGAAGAACACTGCCAAATCAGTTTAATCAGGGGCCCCTCCCATTCAAGATCTGATCACTTTCCTTATCTAACTGGGTTCCTCATCTCCCAGATGATGTCTGAGCACCCTGGCCTGTCTTCAGCAAGAATCCTGTTAGATAGGTTTAGCCAGAACTCCTACCCCATACCCCTGAGGCTTCCTCATTAATTTTTCATCTACTGACTCTACTCTGTTTCTGACTATAATTTCCCACCTACCTACATATTTGGAGTTGACCCAGTCTCTCTGCCCCACTGCAAACCCCCATTGCAACGGTCCTTATGCCAACTTTGGTGGTCTTGAATAAAATCCCCAGCTTTAACATGTGTCCTGATTTTCGTAGAGGAAGTACAACTGAGAGGGAGCCAGAGTTCATCCAGGGTCCAGTCTGACTCATAAAGGACTCTGGGAAACCTTGGGACCTTCCTTAGGAAGGAACATGGAAGAACTTCAGCAGACAGCTTGGATAGGGAGGGGGACTGCCTCAGCTCCATACCCTCCCTATCCACCCAGGAAGGTACTCACTTCAGGCCAGATCTTCCCAGGGCTACACAGCAGGATGAGGGCCCAGGGAGAGCTACCTGCTGCTCTCCCTCCTCCTTAATTTCCTGTCCCCACTCAGCGCCCCCTAGTCCTGGCCACCCAGAGTCTTTTCTAAAAGCCCCACCTCGAGGTTCTGAGAAATGATTGGATCTTGACGAAGACTCCAAGACACTTCTGCAGCTTCCTATCCCCCTTTGGATTACCTCTGCCTGCCAAGGAGAGAGAGGACCAATGCCCACCCGTGCCAGGCTCGCGCGGGCACAGCGCGCACACGCACTCCAGTCGCCCCGCAGCCCACCTGGGGCTGCCTGGCTCGCAACTCCGGAAGCAGCACCCCCTCTTCTCCCCAGACACTCCCCCACCCTCCACCCACCGAGGCAGCAATTACTGGCCAAGACGGCTGGGGAAGGGCCAATTAGTGCGGGAGACGCGGCCCCTCCGCCTGGCGGGCTGACCGCAGCCCCCGCAGCGCGACAGCCGCCGCCTCCTCCTCCGGCCGCTGGCTCCCGCCGCTCGCCAGCCGCCCTCCGCAGCCCTCCCTGCCTGGCAGACTGCGCAGGCTGCCTGCGAGCCCCGGGGGACGCGCCGTCCGGCCTCCCGCCAACTGTGGTGATGGATCCGGCCGTCTGGCGCCAGGCCAGAGCCCCAGCGGACGCGAGGGCGCCGGCAGCTGAAACTCGCCGCCGTGGTGGTGGGGCGAGCAGGCCGGGCCCCCTGCGAGGACTTCTGAGCCCCGAGCCCCTGTGCCTCTGGCCCTTTCCATCACTCAATGGCAACTGGCGCGGTGGCGCGGGGAGGCCCAATCTCAGGCAGACAACTGAGGCCCTCCCAAGCAGGGTCGGCTTTTCTCAAAAGACTTCTTACCATCCCAGGCCCTCCCTCATTGCTTCTCCAAGACTGGGCAGCAGGATCCAGAGCTGTTACCTGTTAGTGGCCATGACAGGGCCAGGCTTTAGAAACTCTTGGCTGGTGCTGGTTCATGCCTCCAGTGCAGGGAGGTGGGTAGGAGGGTGAGTGGGCAGCACAGAGCCAGAGGCCCTCATTACAGACAAGTAAATGAATGCATGGGCTTCCTCCCCTGGGACGTTTCCCTGCATACCCTGCCTCATCCATAGGCTTTGGGAGACCCAAGAGGGATCAGTCCTACTCTCCAGGAGCCTACAGGCTGCAAGGTCTATGGACTTGTCCAGGATCCTACCACCACCACCACACACACAAAAGCCCAGGGGTTGGGGACGCAGCAAGAAGAAACGAGGGACTGGTAGAGAAAGCAGTGGGAGCCAGGGGCTGTCACTTTAAGTCTTCCTCTTTTCCCAGATAACCCCTTTCCAGATGAAGCTGAGCATGCAAGATCCCCAGAGTGGGAAACAAGGTGGCTCTATGCTCAGGAGGTCTTGCCTACTAAACCCTACTAGGGGAGGGTTTAGTAGGCAAGACCACAAATGGGGTTGGCCAAAGAGATCCTGCTGCACATTGTTTCCCCCATCAGTGCCATGAGGGACTGGGTTGGAGGTGCTGAGGCCCCTGACAAGTCCTAGATGCAGGCCCCTTTTCTGTGCATTTTCTCTCATCCTCCACCCCTCTCTGGTCTGGCTTCTCTGTGGGGGACGGGCTGATAGGGGCCTGCAATGCACTCTGGAAACTGAGCTATGTTGGGGGAGAGAGGATCGCTTCTCTGGAATAAAAACTCTCCTTTCCATGTGCCAAGATCATTAATGGTGTAGAGAAGAGAAAGTGCTTGTGAGAAAATTGGGAGATCGAGACTGAACAATGAAGGGGCATAGAGATAGTGACACCACCTCAAGTACTTCATGGAATGAAGTGCAAATGCATGAAAGAATGGGGACAGGGACAGAGACAGATGAAAGGAACAAGGGAACGATTGGTCAAGAAAGTCAGGAGGTAGAGGAAAGGAAGGAGGAGGTGGTGGACACACAGGCAGACAGGCAGATGAACAGAGAACAGGGGCAGTGCTTCCCAGATGGCAGGGATGAGGAGCAGGATCTGGACCCTAAGAAGGTGGCACTGAGCAGAGATCAGTTTTTTAATCCATATTATCTGGGGCTGGGGATATCCTGGGGCTGGGGGCGGGTGGTGAGAGAAAGTGAAGGATATGGAAAACAACAACCCCCAGGGAGAAAAGAAGAACAATGGGTCCCAGGGAAAGAAGAAAAACAATGGGCTCTGGACTTTCACAATTTCTCCTTCTACAACTGCTTTCCTGACTGCCCAACTAACACATTCTGCTATGATTAGGTCTCACTGGGCCCTATAAAACTCAGACCCCTATTGTAACCAGTTGCCATTTTCTCTCTTGAAAATGTGCAACATTTTCAAGATCATTGCTGATCCATTAAAGTCTGTTTCTGTTTCTGTTTCTTTTTCTTTCATTTTGCTTTCAGAAAGAGTCAACTGGAGAGTTGTAGGTCACAGGGGAGATGACCTAACTTGGGCTGGACTGGGAGTCATGGAAGGCTTCCTGGAAGAGCATTTGTTAGGATCAGTGGGGAAAAGTGGAGAGACTGGGTCAGGGAGAGGAAGGGGAATCTGTCAGCTAAAAGAACAGCAGGAGCAAAGACCTACAGGTAGGAATTACCTTGTTTGGTTCAGCAGCAAAGTGTAAACATGGCCCACACAGAAAGGTGAAGAGAGGAATCAGGGCCCAGAGCTGGAGCACTAGGCTTATAAGCTTGGAAGGGAGCATATAGTTTAC